ATATTTTTGTTCTAACTAACCAGAAACGAACGATCATCATCGCTTGGTTTCTGGGAGGTAAAAGTGCAGCTGGGTATTACCAGAGGAAGGCTGCAGCAGCAGCAGCACAGCTTTGACCCAAGAAATCATCCCGTCCCCCAAATCCTTCCCAAGAGAGAGGGGAAAAATCTGTGCCAACATTTCATTCTCACTCATGTCGGTCAAGGGGACTTTGCTTCCTTATCCCACCTCACAAATAAAGAGGAGAATCTTGTTCAAATGTTCAAATGCTTGGGTCTCAGAAGGCACAGTCCGTCCTGTTTTTCTTGCCTTCGCTCAGCAGATGTACACTTCTGTGGCACCAACTCAAAAAGAATTGCTTTTTTTGTTTGTTTCCAGCACAAACCTTGTCCAGTGGCCTAAAGGAGCACCTTCTTCCATATCCTGCTCCCTCTCCACGGAGAGCAAGCTTTGTTTCAGAATCTGCCCTTCCAGGAAGCTAGGTCAATGGCGAGCTGAGCACAGGACCTTTGCTGGTGGCACCAACACTATGGAGCTCCCTAGAAAGAAGCAAGTGGTTTATTGGGTCATCTAGCTCAGTATATTCTTTGAGGCTCTGGGTTCTTGGACAGAGTGGCGGCCTTCCAGCCCCATTACGGATGTTCCATTTGATAGGTTTGCTGATATTTCAGGGGGTCGGATTCGATGACTCTTGGAGTCCCTTCCAACCCTACAATTCTATGTCCGGAATTGACATTTTGCAGGCAAAACAGGTGTTCTGCTGCTGAGTTGCAGCCCTTCCCATAGCCTGTAGGTTTTGTGTGAAGTGAAATTGTGAATAGCTTGATTTTTAGTATATGGTGTTTTAGGAGTCTACTGTAGTTTGGTGTTTTTAGATTATTGTTCTCAAGCTTTTGAACACTGGTGCTGCAAAAAAAGTATTTAATGAAGTATTGCTATCGAGGGGGGAAACAGTGGGGAAGGGCACATTCATGCTCCTGAGTTTTAGAAGTTCTGATTTCTTAAAACAGAGACAGATAGCCAGTTACCATTCAACTCTCACCAGAGGCAGCCAACATTCTCTAGTCCAACGCTATCTGGAGGGCCTTAAGATAGCACCTCTTTCTTCTTTTTCAAAGGTAAAAAGGTAAAGGACCCCTGGACGGTTAAGTCCAATCAAAGGTGACTATGGGGTTGCGGCAGTCATCTCACTTTCAGGCTGAGGGAGCCGGCGTTTGTCCACAGACAGCTTTCCGGGTCATGTGGCCAGCATGAATAAACCGCTTCTGGTGCAACAGAACACACTGACGGAAACAAGAGCACACGGAAACGCCATTTACCTCCCCGCTACAGCGGTACCTTTCTATCTACTTGCACTGGTGTGCTTTCCAACTGCTAGGTAGGCAGGAGCTGGGACAGAGCAACAGGAGCTCACCCCGTTGTGCGGATTTGAACCACCAACCTTCTGATCGGCAAGCCCAAGAGGCTCAGTGGTTTAGACCACAGCGCCACCTGCATCCCTTCTTCTTGGTACAGAATCAGAGAATTGGAGAGTTGAAAGAGACGACAAGGGTGATCTAGTCAAACCCCCTGTAATGCAGGAATCTTTTGGGCAAAGTGGGGCTCGAACACACAAACCTGAGATTAAGAGTCTCATGCTCTACCAACAGAGCTATCGCAACTCTCTGTGTCTTTATAATCACTACTTGCTCCTGGTTTCATGCATGGAGGGCCTTCTAACTCTCCTGGCAAACAGAATGGACAGCTGACTGCACTTTACTGCAGAATGGGGTGGAGTGGGGGTCTTTTTCCGCCCGAGGCTTTTCAGGATCTGCATGTCAGTGGTGCATGGGGTTACAGGCAAAAGGGGGCAGAAACAAAATACAAAAGTGGGAGAAGCAAAAAACCAAATACTTGTTACTATTTGGAGAAATCACTTCGCCCAGGTTGGAAAGCAGAATGCAGAACCCCTTTTCTTGTCAACAGCTGCAGCTTCTCTTTCTGACTCATTCCAACCTCCCCTTAGACATGGGCAAATCAGGGGTCAAAACTAATATGAGTGGTTATATAAGCTAGGCCTTAAATCACCTGGGACTCCTTATTTGCCTGCTTCTCATAGCCAAGGCTGCCCTCATACTGGAGACACTCTTGTTTAAAGAGCTACAAGAAGTGCCGTTTCCAAACTCTAATAATACACATTTTGCCCTAGTCGGAGCATCGTACAAAGCTAGGGATCATTAACAGAGTTCTCAGCACTTTGGCCAAGGCTTGGTGGAGAATCACGGCAATAAAGCCAACTAGACTGTAATACATCCATCTACGTATCTGCCATTAATATCCAGTTAGTTGCAATAGTAGGAATGCTATTCACATAGATTAGAACCACCCTGAAAAGTGATCCTGGAATAATGTTCCAAAGTCTTTATTTACCGGCACATTTGCTGCTCCATTTTGTTGCTGTTTTGATAGTGCCAATCCGTTGTGTAATAGAAGTGGGGGGTAATTGATTTGCTTTGTTGCTTTTGTGTCGATGGGCCACGGATAATGCGATCAAGAAATCTATCACAACCTTGACAAAAAAAATTACCGTAAATTTACTACATTTTTAGCTTGCTTTCCAGACAATTATTCTCTTCTGCTCACCTTAATAATAATAAAATAGCCCCCTGCATCAGGCTCACAAATCAAAGATACACACAGGAGGAGTTGAATGGAAGGGAAAGGGAGGGGGACATTCTTCAAGACCAGAATTAAGAGGAAAAGATCTACATGGACATTTTTATTCCATTTGGAGGGTCAGATTCCCCTTTCCCTTTCTGGTATTCTTGCATGAGTTACAGCCAGTGGCTTGTGGCTCCTTTGGCTAATGGCTGGATCTTGAATGCCCTTCCTTCTGCAATCCCAGGGAGACACAGATTCTAGGTATCTCAAAAGCAGCTTCCCCCAAAATGCTTAATATCTATCTGAAAGGATTGGCAATGGGTTTAATTGTTTTGGAGAGCCCCAACATTAAAATGTGGGGGTAGGGAAGACAACTAGCAATTGTTTATGAAGCAGGTGACTTCCTGCCACCTGCAGGAAGGACATAAACCTTGAAAAGGACTTTGCAGCTTAATGGCATATAAAATTTTTTTCCCTTCCAGTAGCACCTTAAAGACCTTTGGCTAATCTGAAGAAGTGTGCATGTATCTGAAGAAGTGTGCATGCACACGAAAGCTCATACCAAGAACTAACTTAGTTGGTCTTTAAGGTGCTACTGGAAGGGGAAAAAATTTTGTTTTGACTATGGCAGACCAACACGGCTACCTATCTGTAACTGGAACTAATGGCATATAAATTAGCTTACTGTAGCTACCTTCTAAGGTGATCAAGGACAATGCACTGTGATAAGATAATAAAGCACTTTGAAGGAAGTAGGGATAGCAACTTGCAGCCTTGAGACTTAATCAAACCACCACAAGCTTCACACCAGAGCCACCAGAAAAATGGCAATGGCTCCATTTCCAGGTTTGGGAGGAGAGTGAATTCCCTGAACACTTGTTGGAATCTGAAGTGTTTTCAGCAAGCGTTCTTCCTGCTTCTAATGGTCCTAAATGGAAAGAAGTGTGGGATACACCTTCACAATTGCAAGGACCTCCTCCTTTATTAAATGCATCAGCTGCCTCTGGCGATATATCAGAGACAAAACGGGAATGAGCAGCAGAAGGCCGCAAGGGTGAGGACCTTTGATGACAGTCTTTGTTGCTGATCAGAGGGCAGTGAGCACAACCCCTTTGGTTGTTCAGGTACACCAGTGACCGCTGTTAAACAATTAGTTGCCAGCCCAGCAAACTGAAGCTTAAATTACCATTATAACCTGATCATGGCTTTGCCATTGGGACAATTTGCCTTCTCCAAGTTCTTCATAGCACATCAGCTGATTGGGTATTTGCCACAACTCACCTTCATAGATCCTGCCCACCTAGCAGTTCGAAAGCACGTCAAAGTGCAAGTAGATAAATAGGTACCACTCTGGCGGGAAGGTAAACGGTGTTTCCATGTGCTGCTCTGTTTCGCCAGAAGTGGCTTAGTCATGCTGGCCACATGACCCAGAAGCTGTATGCCGGCTCCCTCGGCCAATAAAGCGAGATGAGCGCTGCAACCCCAGAGTCAGTCATGACTGGACCTAATGGTCAGGGGTCCCTTTACCTTTTACCTTCATAGAAACTTGTTCACAAAACTACACTGTGTGTATGAAGGAAGTGCATGCAGCTGCCTCCCATTGAACAGGCAGCTCCAGTAGGCAAGAAGCAACGCAAAGGCTACACTGAGATTGCTTGGGATTGCCAACCCAGGGAGCACGTGTAAAAAGGAAACAGCAGAACAGCGTGTACCTAAAAACCACTTCATATTTCCATGCTTATTTTATCACTGGGACTAGGCAAGGCTGAATGGAGAGGACACATACTGAGCTGCTGCCCCAGGCTGACACTGACTTGCAATGTCAGTTGCTTCTCCCATAGCTAAGTGGTTGAGCACATGGCTTGTATGCAGGTTCCAGATTCAACCCCCACGACCTGCAGTTCACAGAAGCTCAGCGATCTAGTGATGGAAAAGACCCTTCCCTTTGATCCTGGAGAACCCCAGCCAGTGCAAGTAGGTAAAGCTGGGCTTGAAGCAGCCATGGTTTAGTGATGCAAGACAGCTTCGTATGTTCAGTCCTCCTTGGTGGGACCTCTAGTTACAAAACAGAATTGGGGTGTACATAAGAGAGATGAATTCAGCTGCCTTGGTGTACATAAGAGAAAGAGATGAATTCAGCTGCCTTGGTTATTCTTTCAGCAGTGTGAAGAACTCTGAAAGACCTCTTTAAACACGACAACCTACGTAAGTTTAACAAATGCTGGCCCACTGGTGAAAAGATCTAATGTTGATTTTTCTCAGCGCCACAGCAGGAACACTAAACCAAACCAACAGAGAGACTGAAGCACGAATTATGGAAGAGGTTCCTTTGCATAAGGATTAATGCACATACATGCATATGCTTTGACATCGCGTTCTTTATTGCAAGCAGGTAAAGAGTGTGTGCTACAAGAAAGAGCAGATGCCAGGTCGAGAGCACTGTCCCTCGGTTCAGCAAAGACGCTAGCATCATATGCAAACTGTAGCTTGTAGACAACCAAAATGAAGGGAGTGTTGTCAGCAGCTGCCAGAGAGAACCCATTTCCAGGTGGGAGTAGGAAGAGATAGGTGGGAAGTAAAAATTGACCATGAGTAAACTTAGACCAAGCTTGGGTAACTTGAGATCCACCAAGTCATGCATTTTCAGACCTATCAAGTCCTCAACAATGCTCCCTTCTCACCCTACTTTGTTTCTACAGTCTGACAGAAGTGGAAGTTTATCAGGACCTTGAAGAAGCTTGCTTGGCCTGAAGGGTCACAAAGTGTGCTGACTTGTCCCAGACATACCCTGCTCAGTGTCATGGCAATGTTGCAGCTTCAGAACTCAGTTGGAACAGAAAGAAAGCCAAGCTGCCAGAAGGCATAGGCTGGAGACTAGTTGGGTAGAAATGTCTCTGCTAGGAAGAAAATAGTGTTGGGAACTGTCTTCTATTTGGACAAAGCTGGCCTATGAGGGAGCCCTGCACGGAACTTTAAGGCTTAATCGAGTGGCTCAGCACAAGGATTGATTGAGAGACGAGGCACGGAAAGCAAGCGAGATTTCTCCATCTGTCCCATTTTGTGGGAAGAGGCCAGTCCCCAGTGCTTAAGTGAGGACATCTCACTTTTCTTCTTTTAGAAGAAGGCATTTTGTCTGAGCAAGGACAGTCAACTCTTTGAACATAAATCTGTAAAATGGCAAGATGCTAGCTTTCCCCAAATACCTGTAGGACAAAAAAATCAAAATCAAGTAGTCACTGTCTTTAACATTTCAAGGCACATCTGTTTCCCCACTCCTACAAGTACAACAGATATTCCAAGGAAGGTTTTGGTCATTTTTTAAAAAGAACAGCACAGTTTTAATACCCACTGTTCATGCTTGCAAAAAAACAACAACCTATAACCCAAAAAACTAATCCAGGTCATGCAGTCTTAGACTATTTTCACCATTAGGAAGCCCAAAAGGAGGTCAGAAGGTTGGAGTGGACAGACCTACTGAAGCTGGGCAGGGGCTGGGCTGAGGGGATGTACAAGTCCTAAAGAAACCCACCCCTTTGAGATTTGTCAGCAGAGTCTTGGGAATGCTAGTCCTAGTCAAGCCCATTGGAACCACAAAACTCAAGGTGGTGGACACCCACAAATATTGACCATAAATCATACAAACCCACTGTGCATTAGGCAAACAACTTAAGACTGTTGCCTAGTTGATTTTAGGTGCTTTAGATGGAATAAAATTATTGTTTTAAAAAGGAAGGGGGAACGTGTTGATCAGTGGGGCCGTTCTTTCACCACCCACTTGCCTTCCTAAACAGTAGAATAATGATAGACTGCAGGTAGTAGGTCCACAAAGTGTTTGGGAAACGTACTATTGTGAAATGCCCATTCAGAAGACAAAAGGTTGCGGTAACATTCATGTTGCATGTGAGTAACAGCCATCCTTCTGTCAGGATGGCATCCTACTGACCGACTGGTCAGGAAGCTGTGTGCTTTTCTCTCCACTTACTTTTATGCCTACAATGAAAGTCATATATGAATGACATATAAGCTACCTGCAAAAATCCCAAAAAAATCACCTAGCCTCTCTTTCTTACATCTACAGCCAACATAGACATCGCAAGTTCTTTGTCATTCCCTTTGTCATGGATCAAGTCATTCAAGAAAGAAACAAAACTGGGTTGTAGCCAATGTAAGTTTTACTCAGAGGAGACCTGTTGAAATTAATGAGCCTAAGTTAGCCACATCCATTAAATTCAATGGGCCTACTCTGAGTAGGACTAACACCGGACATGATCTTCTGCTTCAAATGGCAACTGATGTCTTCAGAAACAAGCATAGGCCCCTTGCGAAAACGAGTCCAGAAAACTCCTAGGGCATGTGTGACTGGGATTTCTGCTGCATCCACCACACTACAGCTGAAAATCTGCCAGCTTCAGGGACTGTTTTGTGATGTGGGGATTTTTTAAAAACAGCGGTCAAACATATTCCTACCATATATGGAACAGCCACCTTCCCTATTGCTCTCTCATGGTCAAGCTTTCTTTAAAGTTGTCTATGGTGAGCCGAGAATTGTACTGGAGACTAGTTATCCAGTTTTCTCTTTTGACTTGTTTGAAGTTGTGAGGATTGTCAGATTTGCTAATTCGGAAGCCAAGAGCTTGGTCTGGTATGTGCCCTACATCTCGCACCTAAAAGCCGATATACTGGTGGGCTCAGCTGAATTTTGCGTATTGTAATTCTATATTGGGTATCACAAGCACCAAGAATATCTCACTGTACTATGTATTTTATCGTTTACTTCCCTTCTTAAGTGTAAAATAGTGGAGATAACACTTACGCCTTTATATGGCCCACTACGCAACTATGAACAAACCTAAAATGTGTTTTACATTTTGACAGGTGATGTCGTTCTTGAAGCTTTGACTTTCTTGCCAATTTTTAATGGCAGACATGCACATAATATTATTAGATCTGGAACGGCTGCTTTCTCTATGGGTCTTATAACATTTTTTTTAAAGGTATGGATATTGCCAGAACAATAGGACAACTTCAAGAGCCATGACTTTTCGCTTCCTCAAATGTATTTCTCACTAACCCCTGTAACAGGTTGCCAGCTATATGACAATAAGCAGAAATAAGATTCTTAAATTCAAATGGCACACCTTGCCTCCTCTGAAGCAGAATTTAGGGGAAGAGCCACTATTGTGCTAAATGTGCTCATAGATTCAGATAACCTGCTGAGGTGGGCCAAGCCATCGCTATCTGCAGTCATGAGCTGTCAGGTAAATTTAACCCTTTCTTCCAATGCTATCGTCCCATCAAACCCACCCCCAACCCCGCTGCCCCCACCTAAAAGGAAAGCTACATTGGCAACCATAGCATATATATTTTCTGATGAAAAGAGCGGGGGGGACGGGATTGCAGTACACAGGGGGAGGTTAAACCCTACCCTGCGGTCCCGATTTTCCATAAAAAGATCTGTTGCTGTTGTTGTTTTGAAAAAAGTCAGATAATTAAATACAATCCCACACTTGCTGTATCAGCTAGTTTGGCCCTAAGAGAGGAGGGAGGGAGATAAACTAATGTCTACACTCTGAAGCTTAATATCAAGCACTTTTGGATAAAACTAAGAACAGACTGAGACTCACAGAGAACTGCCGCTCTCTGAGCACCAAGTCATCCAGTCACTGCAATCAGGAGAAGTCTGTCTCTCCCCCCCCCTTATTTTTCAAATTCAATGCCAAAGCGTCACAGACCACCAGAGATCTACAGTAAAGATACAGCTATCAAGTGTCACCTTCTGTTCTGGCTCCTTTTCAGCTATTAGTCTGAGCCTGCAACATTTACCTCCCACTGCCAGGGCCTCAAGGACCAAACCTAGCAATTAAGATGCTGCTAAAATGACACTGATTGCAGATTGCTGGTGTTTAAAGGAGGCTGTGCTGCCTGGTGCCATTAGGAGATTGGGTTTCCTGAAAGATGGAACCAGGGATAGAAGACAGCTTCAAAGAAACAGGAGAGAATCTCGCCATCATTTGGCCAAACTGCATGTATTTCTGAAAAAGAGGTGGTGGGGGGAAATACTGCCTTCAATCAACCCCCCTCCCCAAAGCAATCCATTAACAAGAGAGGAGAGGAAATGCTACCAGCAGCTGCTGGTTGCCGTGGTGACACAGTACGTAAGGCTGCTTTTTGCTAGGCTTCCCCCACATACATATTAAATGCACCAACCTGGTGCTGGAGGGAAGGACTCGCTCAACATTGCACTTCCCTCTCCCCCCTCCCCAAAAGCAAACCCACATTCTGGCTATTTTGAAGTCCTTTGTCATTTTGCAAACAAGCCCAGGTAACAAGGCAGGGACAAAGGGGCTGATTGACATTGCTGGCAGGAGGGGAGGAGTGTGGCAGTGGCATCAGTTTCATCCTACTCTCCCCGGCAGGTAGGCAATTCTCCCATCCTCGGTGCCATCATCAAAAGTGCACTGCCCCAGGAGAGATGTTGAACATGGAGGGATCAAACTTCTGGCCTCGGAACGGGGAGCCTTCGGCATCCCAGCCCTTCTTGAGCATCTCGTGGACTTTCTGAAATTAAGACAAGAGTCATGTCACGGTCATGCAATATACAGAAACCCACCAACTTGATTAATCCTGACTTGCCGGTCAATGGATCAGTTGAATACAGTCCACTGACCGCAGCCAGGTATTATCAAATTATTCAGTGAAAACAAGAATGGCACGGTATAGCTGCCAGCTGCTCTTCCTTAAATTTCATTGCAGCACCATTTGTTAGCAAAGGCAGGAGAGATGGTTCCTTGCTCTGCAGATGGGTCAGAGGCCCATGTAGCAGCATAGCCAAGATTCCAAATAGGAACAGGGATATAAGCTTGGGAAAACTGGGCTTCTGCTTACTTAAAATCCCTTAAATATTTTATTTCTGTTTTAATTTATTTTCTTCTCGGTTCTGTACCTGCAGGCTAACTCTGGTGTTCCACCATTAAGTAATCTTTGATTGCCATCACACAACTGTGCTAGGAATCCTTTTGCTCAGGTGTTCCAGGGAAAAAGCCAAAGAGATATCTACACTGATAAAAGCCTTGGCATTTACCGTATTGGCCTGAATATAAGCCTCACTTTCCCCCCAAATTCCAACCGTGAAAAGTTAAAGTGCAGCTTATATTAGCGAACTTACAGTATGCAAACCGCCACACCCCCATCGATTTTAAAGGTGCAGCTTATATTCGGGTGCGGCTTATATTCAGGCCAATACAAGTATGTTATAAATCTACCGTATTTTTCGCTCTATAGGGCGCACTGGACCATAGGGGTTTTTTGGGGGGGAAATAAAGGGGGGGAAATTTTAGCCGCGGGGCTGGGGCAGGGAAGCCCGAGCTTCCCCTGACCCCAGCCCCGAGAACGGGACTGGGAGCGGGGACAAGGTTGCGCGCAACCTCACTTTCGCTCCCGGAGCTTGCTGCTATCCGCAAGCCTTCTGAGCCCGGCAGGAACTCCCGTCGGGCTCCCAGGGCTTGCAGATATCTGCCCGAAGCCCGGGGTGCACTGTGCAGCGCTCCCCGGGCTTCGGGATGCAGGCTGCTATCCGCAAGCCTTGGGAGCCCGGCGGAAACTCCCGTTGGGCTCCCCAGGCTTGCGGATAGCTTCCTGAAGCCTGGAGAGCGAGAGGGTTCGGTGCGCACCAACCCCTCTCGCTCTCCAGGCTTCAGCGAAATCCTGCATTCGGCCCATAGGACGCACACACATTTCCCCTTCATTTTTGGAGGGGGAAAAGTGCGTCCTATAGAGTGAAAAATACGGTATCTAATTTCATAGTTTCACAATGACAGTTAACCCATTTATTTATATAATTAGCTCAACTACAAAACCTGTCGATAACCTGTCGGTAATGTCTATCAAGCCACGGAACAGCAAAATCTTAAATCCTAACAGTGCTTTAGAAATATTATAAGCCTTTTTGAAAATATTTGTGGAACAGCATTTGCTTTGCATGCGGAATGTGCCATGTTCAATCCCCAACACCTACAGGTAGGGATGGGAGAGAAACATCTGCCTCAACCTCTGGAGACCCAATGCCAGTCAATTAGCTAGAGACTGACCAACAGTCGCACTCAGAGCCAGTGTGGTGTAGTGGTTAAGAGCGGTAGTCTAGCAATCTGGGGAACCGGGTTCGCGTCCCCGCTCCTCCACATGCAGCTGCTGGGTGACCTTGGGCTAGTCCCACTTCTCTGAAGTCTCTCAGCCCCACTCACCTCACAGAGTGTTTGTTGTGGGGGAGGAAGGGAAAGGAGAATGTTAGCTGCTTTGAGACTCCTTAAAGGGAGTGAAAGGCAGGATATCAAATCCAAAAAACTCTTCTTCAGTATAAATCAAAGATATCTTGTTCAGTGTTGCAAAATCCTCCATTTTGATTTGCCATATTTAATATTCTATATTATTTTAATGAATGTTGAATGTTATTTTATTTGCATAGTGTTTATTGTATTATGCAAACTGTCTGATTTATATGATGTTAGCTGCTCTGAGCCCGGCTTTGGCCGGGGAGGGCGGGATAAAAATAAAATTATTATTATTATTATTATTTATTAGACAGATTCCTTATAAGCAACACAGACTTACTGAAGAATGAACCAAGCTACACCAAGGTGGGCAGAGTTCAGGCTTAAAATATTTCCCCCCCCCATAGAATTCTGAGGTTCACCAACCAGAAAGAGGTGCAAAAATAGGAGCAGAGAGAAGTACCAGATTTGAAACAGTAACTTGCTTCGGAAACAGCAACATACTGCACCCCATGAGCCATACAATGAAATAACCTGCATATATGAGAGTACAAATCTACGCCAGAGTTACAACAGATCAGAAATGTTAATGCAGAAATCTTAAATTGGCCAACAGAGCTGTAACAAAGCCCATTTCAAAGACAACCAATTAGTACTCATTTTACAGGCAATGAACACTGAGGCCTTTTAAAAATACAATTTTATTTGCCATTCAGAGTCAGAAACCCTTGCTGATCCAGACTGCAGTGGGTCCCAATCTATTTTCTGACTACTTCCAAATAAGAAAGGCAAAAGCACATTTCAATAACTTTTTGTGTGCAAGTTCTCTGCTGGGGGCTTCCTTTTCTGTTTTTAGATGAAAATTTTACGATTCCAGAAACGAACGTGGACAAATTAGAAGCACTCTTCTGACAGATTCCAGGCATGATTTCCCATCACATCCCAACATCCTTACAGAACTTAAAACTCAGACAGGGAGTCTTAGGGGAAGGAGTGACAGTTTTAAAAGCCAGGCATTGTTTTCCAACTTAAGACAGATTTTGTGATTTGTCAAAACAAAAAAAATTCCTTCCAGTAGCACCTTAAAGACCAACTAAGTTAGTTCTTGGTATGAGCTTTCGTGTGCATGCACACTTCTTCAGATACCTCTTCAGATACTTCTTCAGATACTTCTTCAGGTATCTGAAGAAGTGTGCATGCACACGAAAGCTCATACCAAGAACTAACTTAGTTGGTCTTTAAGGTGCTACTGGAAGGAATTTTTTTGTTTTGACTACGGCAGACCAACACGGCTACCCGTTTGTGATTTGTGGAACTGTTTCTTCTCAGTAAATCCTCAAGACAGAAATATGCTGAAGGTTTTAGTGGAAATTTTTATTGAATTTTTATTTTCAAATTGTTTGATGCTGGTGAAGATGTTATGACATTTTGTATTTTATATTTGCTGCAAGCTGCCTTGAGCCTCATGAAACAGAGGGCACAGAAAATAGTATGCCAATTTAAGCATACAAACATGGATAAGGCTTTGGATGCTTACTCTAGATTGTGAAATCACACTGAGATGCTTCTTAAGTAGTGAAGAAGAATAAAAATATCATAATCAACAACAACAAATAGCTCATTATGCAACAACATACATACGTGTATTGGGAAGACCCTATTCTTGCAAAGACCTCCCTAATCACTGAGTTTAGCATAATGGATGATTGCTGCAAATGGTGCCTCCTTGGACGATAGATCAATATTGACAATTAATATAGCATTCCCCATTGTCATTCTGCATTTATGGAATTAATATTCGTTGGATATTCACAAGACTCAATAGCCTAGCTCATTTAGAGGGGATATTAAAACTTTCTTTTTCAGCAGGCTTTTACATTCCAAGTGTGATGAGAGCCAAGTTTGGCTGGAATTATTCTCTTTGCTGTTAAAATAACACAGTTGATTTAGTCTGTATTTTTAATGCACATTATTTGATATTATGTGCTTTAATGCACATGATCCGATATTATAATATCTCTGAGTCCAATTTTTTGAATTCACCAAACTGAAAAGAAGGTTATAAATAATCTTATAAATACAACAGTGTATCTTTTTGCATGTACAAATATAAAGCAAAATAAATAATAGAAACATAGAATTATAGAACTGTGGAATTGAAAGGGACTCCGAGGGTCATCTAGTCCAACCCCCTGCAGGAATCTCAACCACAGAACATCATACGTGACGACATCATTTGAAATGCCAAAGGTTTTCCATCCTTCACAAACCTGTATCAAATAGAGGTCCAGACACAATTCTGCGTAAAAACCTCCAAGGAAGGAGAGTCCACTATATCTCATGGGAGACTGTTCCACTGTTGAACAGCTCTTACTGTTAGAAAGTTCTTCCTGGTGTTTAGTCGGAATCTCTTTTCTTGTAACTTGAATTAATTGGCTCGGGTCCTTCAGGGTAGGAGAAAACAAGCTTGCTCCATCTTCCGTGTGACAGCCCTAAAGATATCTGAAGATGGCTATCCTATGTCCTCTGAGTCTCCTCTATTCCAGGCTAAACATACCCAATTCCTCAGCCGTTCTTCATAAGGCTTGGTTTCCAGACCCTTGATCATCCTGGTTTCCCTCCTCTGCACACATTCTAGCTTGCCAATATCCTTCTTAAATTGTGGTGTCCAGAACTGGACACAGTACTCCAGGTGTGGTCTGACCAAGGCAGAACAGAGTGGTACTATTACTTCCCTTGATCTGGACACCAAACTATCGGGACACTCCCCTTGATGTTACAGCCTAGAATCACATTTGATTTTTTTGCTGTTACATCACATTGTTGACTCACGTTAAGCTTGTGGTCTATTAAGACCCCTAGATCCTTTTCACATATACTGCTTGCAATCCAGGTGTCCCCCATCGTATATTTGTGCAGCTGGTTCTTCCTGCCTAAATGTACAACCTTACATTCGTCCCTACTGAAAATTATTTGTTAGCTTTGGCACAGTTCTCCAATTTGTTAAGGTTATTTTGAATCCTGATTCTGTCTTCAGCAGCATTGACTAACTTTAGAAGTTTGCTATCATCTGCAAATTTGGTGAGTATTCCCTCAATACCTTCATCCAAGTTGTTTATAAAGACGTTGAACAACAATGGGCCCAGGACAGAACCTTACAGCACCCCACTTGTCACTTTTTTCCAAGATAATGAGAAACCATTAGAGAGCACTCTTTGGGTTTGGTCAGTCAACCAGCTACGAATCCACTTAAGAGTTACCTCATCCAGTCCACATTTTACCAGCTTTCCTGGTATTGATGTCAAGTTCACTGGTCGGTAGTTACATGAAACTTCTCTTCCCCCCTTTTTGTAGATGGGGACGACCATTTGCCTGCCTCCAGTTCACAGGGATCCACATCACCTGTTCTCAAAGATTATAGACAGAAGCTCTGAGATTACATCCACAATCTCCTTTAGCACCCCTGAGTGCAGTTCCCATACCACCTCTTTTCCTATGCTGGGTTTCAGCTCTTTCCCTGCATCCTTTATTCTGCTATCACCAGGTTAAGCACTGTTTCCTTTAGGGCAAGGACAAAGTAGGTGTTGAGCAGTTCTGTCTTCTCTCTGTCACCCAGTAGCATTTCTCCATCTTCTCCACTCAAGGGATCCACCACTTACTTGCTCTTGGTTTTGAACATAGCCAAATCAACCTTTTATGTTATTTTTAACTTCTTTTGCAATTTCATTCTGAGCTTTGGCCTGCCTGACCTTCTCCCTGCAATTGTTGGCAACTCATGTATACACTTCCTTCATGATTTGTCCTTCTATTTCTTATATATGCTCTTCTTACACCTCAGCTCATCTGTAAGCTGTTTATGCAGTCTTCCGCTTTCTTTTCTTGTTGGAATTATCTGTCTTTGTGCCTTCAAAATTTCACCTTCAAGAAATTCCCATCCATCTTGTGGACTCCCTTCTCTTTGACTATTTCTGATGAGAGTGCATGTCCAACTACACATAGCTTTCCCTTGCCTGTGTATAATGAAACCTGAGGGCATGATCACGTCCTCCCAAGGTTCCTTGTACTTTCAATTTGTTGATCAGTTCTTCCCTGCTAGTAAGGACCAGGTAACCCCTTGTTGCTTCCCTTCTGGGAAATGAAATTGTCAGTGAGGAATTTGTTGGAGCTTAGATTCTTGGAAAAGTCTGGGTTCCAACAGCTATTGGGGTAGTTGAAGTCTCCTATGACTACTATATCTCTTCTTTTTGAATGTTTGGTAATCTGCTCTAGAAAGGTATCATCCAGGTCCTCAGCTATCACCCACGGTAAGGTTGTTCCCTACAATTTTTACCCATATATTCTCAGGCTGCCTTCCACATTCCGAGTCATGCTGAGATCGAATGACCTGTTTAGAGCACAGCATTTAGGAGTGACATTTGGTACACTCTGGTATTATCATACAGATGACAAATCAAAGGAGTAAAAACACAGAGCTAGTTTTGCGCCGATCTTGGATGCTTTTGGTTGCTCACAACCAAAGAGCAGAAAGTGGAGTTTTACTGCCATTAGCCCTGCACTCGGAAGATTACAGCAATAATCATTTGGCTAATGCCATAACACACCAGAGACACAGTTGCATCTGGCAAGTCTCTCAGAGAAAGGTTATACATTAAATATTCTACACCTAGATGCCATTTTGAGCACTGAAAACAGTGGCATTAAAATCAGGTTTGCAAATGAGTCTAGAAAGGATAATTTTGTTAAAACTCGGAACGTCTCCCTGTTAAAACAGCCACCTAGATGATGTTCTTAACTGGAACTCCCCTAGTAAAAAGAAGCAGAAATCAGGCAAGTGGTTATTTACAAAATTGATTTTGCTTACTACATACAAGTCCTACTTAGGATATTTGCTCCTGTATTATATCTGCCATAAAGGAAGATTTTCTGGAACTGGGTCACAGAAATTCCCAGGAACTATTTCACACAAGTAGAATTTGGCATTGTGTTTTTTATTCTTTCTTTCCCCTCAAGCTGTGGGAGGAGTCCCATGCTACCTTAGACAGCCTACAATGGAACTGGGGGAACTGTCCTCTCCTTGAAGGACTATGCAAAGTTACCCATTGTGATTTGAAGCCTGAGCTATGGCAGAACCAAAGTACCACAATGATCCAAACAGTCTACCTACTGCATGCAGCACATTAAGAGAAGCAAAGAACTGCATGGTCAGCAAATCAAACAATTTCCTAATTAAGAAACATACCATCTCATGGCTCTGTGGCTTTCCCTGCAGCTTTTGGTGGTAGTCAAAGGATAGCCTGTCCAGCACAGCATGCTCTTCTTCATCCACCGTAGCCATTGAACGTTCTTTATTGATTTTACCAATGTCAATCTGCTCTTCTCCTTCCAAGATGGCACTCCACCAGTATTCACCTACTTTGCTCAGGTTAATCTGGAACAAAACAGAAGCAGCTGTAGTTCAGAGCTGGACAATCAGCAGCAGCCAGACCTGGTCTAGAGAAATATGTCACAGAATCATAGAATTGTAGATTTGGAAGGGAGCACAGGGGTTATCCAGTCCAACCCTCTGCAATACAGGAACCTTTTGCCCAATGTGGGGCTCGAACCCCCCAACCCTGAGATCTCACCCTTTGAGTCTCATGCTCTACCAACTGAGCTATCTGTCCTGAGAGTCATGGCTATGTTACTTAGAGATCTTAAAGGAACAGACCAAAAGAATAACCAGAGTTCTGAGGAAAACTCCAAATGCAGGGACACAAATCCCTGTGCCAGAACAGAATTCAGCGGCACCTGCCATTCTAACAAGGATCTAGAAGAAATAACTTATATTATCATCATTCATCCTTTGCCAGAATAGGATACATTTATCACACATTTGGAAACCAATTTTCCAAAAACTTTGCACATTGACCTCCTCCCTGCTTAAACTATCACGACCATTTCTAACAAATGTGACACCAAGATTATTCCATTTCTTCCCAAAGGGCCTCAGCTGAGAAACAGTCTGTTTTATATGGATAAAGGTGAGTAATAATAGTTAAAAATTTACGCTGCTTTATTAGCGCTTATTAGACTACTCCATGATCACTGAAGAGCTCCGTTGTGAAAGCCAGAGGAAGTGTTCAAAATTATTCCGCATACTCCAGTTTTAACTGTTGTAGACGTGTGCCGTGAAATCCTAAGGATGTATACTTTGAAGTATGATCGGTCGTATTCAGTGAGTTTTACGTACAGATTAAGAGAACGCAAGACTGGAGCCTTTGGACAGAGTTCATTACCATACCCTACATTGTTTGTTACGCATCGCTTTGTATAAGCTCGGTAAAGTTACTAGCCTGCAAAAAATTGCACTAGGCTGTAAGGTTCACAGCAAAAGGGGAGCAGCCAGCATGGAAACACTAGCTAATTTAAAAATGCCTTCTATCAAGCGGACTGGCAGAGGAGTAACAGAGCAAGCCATTTCTCCCTCTGCCAGTCTGCTGTGCTTCTGCACTCGTCACAGAGGAACAGGAATACCATCTTCTACGGTTAGCATGGCAACCAAGTGGGCTGGCAGATCATTCCCTCCTCTACCACCCACCCACTTGCCTGTATGGAATTCCTGGTCACTTCTGGCTACTAGGCAAGTTGTTAAATACAAGGCTGAGTGGGCATGAGAATAGGCATCGGAATTACATGGTGCCTCTATCGCACTTTACAATGGATCACTGTATTCCTTACTTCAATAGACATCATGTGTGTTACTGTGCTAGTACTGAACATCCAGAATTTCCAAGGGAATGAATGAATCATAGAATTGCAGAGTTGGAAGGCACCCTGAGGGTATTTTTTATTTTATTTCATTTCTATACCGCCCTATACCCAAAGGTCTCACATAAAGGATCACATACATAAAATCAAAATATAACAACAATCCAGTAACACCCCCCCCTAAAAAGCCAGCATTTTAAAAAGAGTATAGGATGTAGATCAGGTCAGGTAAAGGCCTGGTTAAAAAGGAACATTTTTGCCTGGTTCCTAAAGGTGTACAACGAAGGTGCCAGGTGAACTTCCCTGGGGAGAGCATTCCACAGATGGGGAGCCACTGCAGAGAAGGCCTGTTCTCATGTTGCCACCCTCCTGACCTCTCGAGGAGGAGGCACACGAAGGAGGGCCTCAGAAGATGATCTCAGGGTCCGGATAGGTTCATATGGGAAGAGGCAGGTATTGTGGTCCTGAGGCATTTAAGGCTTTATAGGTCAAAACCATCACTCTGAATTGGGCCCAGAAACTAATTGGTAGCCAGTGCAGTTGCACCAGAATTGGCGTCATATGCTCAAACCATCTTGCTTCGGTGAGCAACCTGGTTGCTGAATTCTGCACCAGCTGAAGTTTCTGAACCATCTTCAGAGGCAGCCCTACGTTTAACACATTGCAGTAATCTAACCTTGAGGTTACCAGAGCATAGACAACAATAATTAGTCTATCCCTGTCCAGATAGGGGCGTAGCTGGGCCACCAACCGAAGCTGATGGAAGGTACTCTGGGCCACTGAGGCCACCTGGCCTCAAGCGACAGCAAAGGATCCAGGAGGTCCCCCAAACTATGAACCTGCTCCTTCAGGGGCAGCATAGCCCCACCAAGAGCAGGCGACCTCCCAGCCGTCTGGTCTGAGGAACCACCCACTAACAGTGCCTCTGTCTTATCAGGATTGAGATTCAGTTGTTGGCTCTCATCCAGTCCATTATTGAGACAAGACCACTGGTCCAGCACTTCCACTGCCTCACCTGCAGATGTAAAGGAGAAATAGAGCTAAGTGTCATCAGCATACTGCTGACAATGCACTCCAAACCTCCAGATAACTCCACTCAGTGGTTTCATGTAGATGTTAAACAACATGGGGGATAGAATTGAGCCCTGCGGAACCCCACAATGGAGGTTCTATGGGGCTGAAAAGCATTCTCCAAGCAACACCCTCTGCAATGCAGGAATCTCAGCTGAATCGTAATAGAACCATAATATAATGCATATCATGCCTGCGAGAAAACGTGCTCAAAAGGACATTTTTAGCGCACCAAGCGGACAGTACTATCCTCCTATGCCCTTAAGGGGGGTTGTATTTTATTTCATTTTATTTCACCAAATTACTCTGCAAGCACAGCTTTGGGGTGGTTTCAACACCTGAGTTATTGCCTCATCTGATCCATATAGCCAATGGGGCAACAGCAAGGCAGGGTGGCAAGAGCAGACGTCACCATCTCTAGAGTGACGCCTGTGTGCCAGCAAGTCGGCTTCAATTTCAGCACTAAACAAAGCATGTAAAATCTCTCACAGAACTATCTCAATGTACCCACCATACGCAACATGACAGGAAGCACCCCATCCGAATTGGTATCGCTAATCCTCCCTTCCAGAGACACAATGCAAGCACTTTGATTGGCTACGAGTGACATCATGCCCAGTTTTGTATAGCCTAAAAATTCAAGGGCCTGATTAATTTGCAGAGATAATATATAGCCATAAGTTATGGTGGCAATTATTTCAGCTATTATTGAACTACGCGTGGATACAGCCAATTGGCTTTTGGCTTCAGTCAGTAACATAATCCTCCTCCTATCTGGGCCAATATCACAGAGTTGGAAAAAGGTACAGGAAAAAGCAACTAAACCAAAATCTATTGGGATGCATCCCCTTCTCTATGAAGAAAAGTTAAAGCCTTTGGTGCTATTTAATTTAGTCTGGGGGGGTGGGGGTAAGATCAAGGTTGGCATAAGATGTTTCTACACTCCCTCTCTCTCTCTCTCTCTCTCTCTTCTTCTCTCTTCTTCTTCTTCTTCTTCTTCTTCTTCTTCTTCTTCTTCTTCTTCTTCTTCTTCTTCCACTCGTAGCCGAGTAAGATTATCTTCCATGAACACGGTTTTGGGTTTGGGATAGGTTTTTGGAAGACACCTGTGCGTGAATTTGTTTTATGAGTGTAAATCAGTGCACACTGACCAACGCACAGTCTTCACAGTAAGGCTCTATTCCAATGGGATGAGTATCACGGCAACCGGTAGATTCTTATCTGCTGCAGCCTTCATCCGCCTTCAAAGCCTTGTAACATACCGCTTGTTATCTTCCACCTGTTCTGTCATTGAGGACTTCTTGGATCATTCTTTGTCTAGCTCCTCCCCTTTGACCTTACTGCCTTGGGTGACTCTGCTGGGAGTGTGAGACTCCTGATGGCTTTGCTCACAGGGGTCATAGGAACATGCAAGCCCACTCACCACAACAAGGTGATGATCCTGTGAGTGAGACACACAGGCACACACACATGTACACACACACACTCTATATGAGCTGTGTGGAAAGTAACTTCTCCTTGTCTCATACTACTAGGGAGCACCCAGTAAAGATAATTTGCAGAAGGTGAAAGCAATTCGTCTCATAACACATAGCTTGTGGGATCCATGGTCTTTCCATAAAGGACAATTGACAGATATGGCAGCTAATAGAACCTCCACATTCAGGGGAAGTATCGATGCTGGGTATCAGATGCTTTCCTGATGTGCAGCCTACTATTGTGCGGAGAGGAGAAGGAATCTGGCTAGATTAGGCAACCTTTGGGGCAGGATCCAGCAGAGCGGTCCCTGAAGTACACTGATTGGGAAATTAATATAATCTCGGCTAACTCTTGGTGGTGCAGTGCTTTGCACCAACCGAGAGAGGCACTTCACACTTTGCAAAAGAAAAAGAAAGCTATTGCACCAAAGCCCTGCAAGTTTCTTCCGAAGTACACAGGAGTGGGCGGGAACAAGGCTGAAACGGGTTACACTTTTAGCTGCCACCCCAGCTTGACGGGGCTGCATGGCCTGGGTGCACTTGGAGATGCAAGAATCTGTTCCATGACAACAAAGAAAAAGTAGCTTCGGAGAGACAGTCTGGCAGGAAGAGAAAGCTGCTCTTTGCGAGGCTGCCGGGGAGAGAAGCAAAAAAGGTCATAAATTCCATATGCTGCAAGGAGAAGGTGAAACGAAGAGGCGAGTCACATATTCACTTAAACAACTTGTTTGTCGGCGGGGTGTGGAGAGACAGGATGCACCACAACAGCCCAGACGAAGAGAGCTTCATCTGCGGTAAAGCAATCACACCAGCATGGTATTTCTAAGGAAAGTTTGCATAAGGCGCTGGGAGTGAAAAGGTCCATCTGAGGAAGCTTGTGGGAGGACTCTTTGCCTTGGGAACTGAAGCTGCAAAAAAGGAGGGCGTTCCAAGGGGAAATTGTTGCTTTCCTCAGAGGAACCCCCAAACATAAGATAAAATACTTCCCAAAATTGCTATCGTTTTTGAGATTGCTGTGGTTCTAACCTGCAACATACACCTCTCCTTAAAGATCTTCAGGAACTCCATAGAATGGTGAGGATTGCAATGTCTTTCCGCATATGCATGATGCAGCCGCATTTGTAATATTATT